ACCTATCCTCCTCCCACCCACGCAACCGAGCTGGTCCTCTCCATCCCACGGCCTCACAAACATGCCTGTGAAGCCACCCACTTGCTCCCTGTTCTCACCCCCGCCTGCCCTCCAAAAGCAGGACTGCCCCCGGCCTCTACCAAAATCTCCCTTGTGTGCTGCCCCGGCCCAACACCCAGGTATGCCTGGCCCTGTCTCTGATTCATCTCCACCTCTCCCTTCCTTCCTGGCCCACGAGACCGTTTCTCCTCTCCTTCCCTCTCTCCACACCATCCCGTGCTGCATCGTACTCACCACAATCTTCTCGACCATGGGCACTTTCAGGCCCTCCAGCTGCATGGCCACCTCTGTGCTCTGCTCCGCAACTGTGCTCAGGGTGAGGATTGCTAGCAGGAAGCGCTGCCCATCCTTCCCGTCCAGCCTCTGGCGGGAGCGGGACCAAGGCAAAGGCAGGCTCTCAGCCAGGGGCCTCTTACTCCTCCCCAACCCCCTGCGGGACTCGGGCCTCCCGGGAACCGCACTGTGCTGACATGCACCTCGTCCTGGGCCGGCGGGTTGGGGTGCAGGGGCAGTGTGTGTGGAGGGAGGGGACCCAGTTGGGGCTTCACAAACACACCCACCTCGAGCAGAGCTCGTGGGCTGAGTGTGTCCCCTTGCGGGCTTCAGGTTCCCAGGGATGGGATCTCCCCATGGGCTGGATGGGGCAATGCAGGACTGAGTGGGGGCTGGCGCCATTGGGGAAGTTTCATACCTGCCCTGGTTCCTGGAGGTGTTTTATCACAAGGAGGCGGGCAGCTTCCTCAGGTGGACTCCCATCTTCATCTTCCTCCTCGTCCTCGTCCTCGTCCTCAGTGGCTGGTCTGGGAATCACTGCAGTGGGGAGGAAAGGGGAGAGGGTGAGTCCAGGACCGCTGAGAGGAAGGGAAGTGGGGCACGGGGGGCAGAGATGGGGCCATGCTGCCCTCGCCAGCACAAGAGCCCTGTCAGCAGGAGTCTCACGTGGTCCCTCTCCAGCACCCTCCTCCACCCCTGCAGCCTCCTGCCCCCGTGGCTGAGAGGAGGCTGGACTCTCGCTGCTCGCCTGGGAGGTGCCTGTCCCCATCTCAAGGGACCCTGGCTCCCCCCTCACCCCATCCACACTGACACCACTTGACACTTGGACAAGGAGGTTTGTGTGGCTCAGCCCCCTCGCCTTCACCGGGATCCCCCCCGTGCAACTTTTAGAGCGTCTGCTTGGCCTCGCAGAGCAACTGGCCCTGAGACCTCCTGGCCCCCGGCGGGCCCCTCACCTGTGCAGGTGGCGCCAGGGGCCGGGGTGGTCCCACGCTCCAGGGAGCTGGGAGTGTCCTCCTCCTCCTCCGAGCTGCTGCTGGAGCTGGTGTTTGGGGCCTCCTGGGAGCTATCGGAGTCCCCCGAGGACGAGCTGGGGCTCAGGCTGGTGTTTGGGGACTCCTGGGAGCTATTGGAGTCCCGTGAGGAGGACCCGCGGCTCGGGCTGGTGCTCCCGGACTCCGGGGAGCTGTGCGAGTCGTCCCAGGAGGAGCCGCAGCTCAGGCTGGGGCTGGTGCACGACTTGCTCAGCTCCTGGCCCAGGGAGAACGGGCCCTCATCCCCGGCTGTGCAGGGGGCTGCCTCCTGCTGTGGGGCTGCAGGGTCTGGCTCAAGGCTCCCCAGTGACAGGGGAGGGGAGCTGCATGGCTCTTCTGCCTGGCGCTCTTCTGCAGCCAGCTCCTGCTTGCCCCGGTGTACACAGGGCCACCTCCATTTGGTGCTGGAAGTGGTGGGTTTCCTTTCCTGCTTTCTCCTGCTGCCAGGAGCTGTCTGATTTCCATGGCTGCAGATGGGGCACAGCCAGCTCCTTGCCTTGATGGGCCCCTCATCGTCATGGCAGGCGGGGCCCAAATCCTCCTGCCCAGGCCCGCGGCTGCTCTCTGCTCCCACGCTGACCACCTTGGCTGACCTCCGCCTCAATATCCGCCGCAGCCTGTCCATCCTGGCACCCAACAGGAGCAGTCCTGAACTGGGGCTCAGGGCACCCCCTCCAGACCTGTCTCTCCCCTCCCCTGCTCACCCAGGTGACAAGCACATGGACCCCGAGTTTCACCCATGGCCCCAGCATCCCTGGTGCTCAGGTTGGCAGGCGGGGAGAGCCCTGGGCTCAGGCTCAAAGACCTGCAGCTGGTTTGGACACCCAGATCCCTGCTCCTGCCTCTCATCTCTTAGCCCTCTGGAGGGGCCAGGGCCTGAAGCCCCTGCAATAGATCCTGGGGCTGGGATTTGGGAATGCCAAGCCAAGGAGGACAGGGGCCCCTTCCCTGGCACCTGCCAGAGACCAGCACTGCCACAACTTGGGCCTCCCTGCAAACTCAGCCTGGGCAGCACTGGCTGACCTGGGAGGGCTGGGGAGCTTCAACACCTGGGCATGTTTCCAACCCCCTGGCGGTGGTGTCAGAGAGCACCAGGGCGGAGGTCACCACGTTGC